CCGCCGATCTATCGGCGATGCATCGCCGATTCCATGTTGATGCATCCCCCCCCTTATGCCAGTCCCCCCGATCGTTGCCCCTCAGTTCGGGAGCGCCCGGTGGACGTTACCATCGAGAGCATGCCCACGGCAACGAACGCATTTCCGTGCGAGCGTGGCTTGACGTGCGTCAGGCTCGTTGGCGTGCTCCTCTCGCAGCGACAGGGATGTGAGAACAGACAAAAAGCTAGACTCAACTTGTGTTGGGGAGGACGATCAATGGAGAGGAAGCATGTTGCCAAATAATTCCCAGATGTCTAAAGCATGTTTTTAAACATGTTTAAAACGTGCTTGGCTCATTTTTAAAATCACACACATTTTTAATTCACTGATCGGATTGTTCGGGTGCCCATTGCCATGGTATCCACAAAAATCGTGACTTGAAAACGATACTTTTCCAACCCGTAGGTGCCGAACTCCATTGAAAACCTCCCAGACTGTAGAAGGCCTTGATAGCAGCCTGCCTGCGATGATTGATCTCGGTGTTGCAGGACACTGACCTGTGAAGACGGGGACCCAGATACCTAGCAGACAACATCGTCTTCCCAGGAACAGGTGCACGGGGCCTATACGTAGCACGAGTTGCAGCGTCCGCTCCACGATCACCGAAAACTGCCAAACATTCGTGCTCGTCAAAATTTTGGACGACGTCAGCTCCAGAAAGGGCCACAGAAAGTGCAGCCGACATAGACCGTTCCTGTGCGCGTGATGTGTAGAGCCATATGAACCGGCGTACTTTCGAGACGTCGTCGGCGTACGTGGCGATCGAAATGTCGAGCGGGGCACGAGTTTGTAGAAGAACGCTCCTAGCGACCGAGGGCGGTGCATCGGTAATGGCACGAGGAAGCGAGACCGTCGAAACACAGATGGGAGGGGTAGAAGACTGAAACACATCCACACCCTCGCTGTATGGTAACAGAACCACTCGCCAGCAAGACCGTCTCCAGGAAGAGTGCCACTACTGGTGCGACCGTGGACGATGCCGTCCGTAGACTCCCAGCGAAGCGTTGCAGCACGCAGACGTTGACGTAATATGCCATGCTCGTGCTCTAGGTTAATTGTTAATTCCAGACCAGCTTGTAGAACGTCGTGCGACGGACAACACGCAAAGGCATTACCGGCATCGTAAAAATACAACGCGTGCGATATATGCGCAGCAGACAGACGAGTGTGCAACATGCTGAATTGTAGAATAGCATGCTCACGCCTACGGCCTGGTGCGTACCCATACAGTACGAATACAGGCTATTCGCGTTCATCTTCGTGCGAGCCCACGCAATACGGACATAGATTTTTCCCAAACAAGCCAGACAGTAAAGGAGCCGGAGCCCTTCGTCAGGAAGCCCTGTCTTCTTCGGGATGGCAAAGGCGCTGCTCTGCGACCACACGCGAGGCATGCGACGGGAAGCTCGCACAGCAGTGAACAACGCCTTGAGGGACTGGTAGACAGGCCTAGAATATCCGATGCCACTACGCTTAGGACATTTAGGAACGCAATGCGGGCATTACAATATACGCCACACACTTGCGGGAAACGCCACGCGGGTGCTCCTCGTCGGAGGGGGGCATGGCGACCCTTCCTCGCCACCTCTTGGAGGTCACTCTGGGCTCTTGCAGCGTGAACAGGGTGGCGTGAAAGACGTTCGAAATCAGGCTCGGCAGGGCAGTCCCCGACTTCTGCAGAGCATCCCCCGCAACAGCCAGGCGACGACAGCGTTTCTCGAGTAGCAGAATCGTAGTTCATCGGAGGGGCGGCCAGAGGTCCAGAGGTCTGCGTTTCGGGCCGTATCCAGTCCTGGCGACGAGGCGTGAGACCCTCCAGGCAGCAGCACAATCCCGCTGTTCCCAAGCATCGTGCAGTTCACTAAGTCGTACATGTTTGCACGCACGCATGTTTCCTTTTGTGTCTTTCTGGAGGGCACGATCGGCAGCACGAGAACGAAGAACAGCACGTGCAAGCAGAACGTGGTCAGCAATACGGCGGGCAGTAGACGCAGGACACGCAGCGATTTGAACAACAGCACGAGGATGTACCAGGCCACATAAAACACGAATGGGTGAATGTCCAGCGGGCTCAGGGGGTAGGACGTTTCGAAGCTCTCGGCGAACACGAGCTCGGTCCCCAGCGGCCTGAACATGCCCTTTGGATCTCCGGTGCAAGTCGGGATCGAGGATGAGCAGGTAAATGCACGCGCACAGCAGACAATACACACTCGTGGAGAGAGGAATAGATGATGTCCGGGCCCGCAGCAGGGTCGGCAGCAGCAGGGCAATGCGGAAGATTGTGATGTACTGCTTGAACAAGCTCGTCACGCTTGTACCCTGTGAGCGCAGACTTGGCGACCGCTTCGTTTGAGAAAGGCTGGGGCGACGGCGACGCACTGCGACTGTGATGCAACCTGAGAGGGCACGTGACCACGAGGGGTAAATGGTCTCGTCTCCGCCGGCAGTTGATGGTTTGGAGGGCATCGCCCGCCCGATGCCAGACCTCGTGCTTCGGGACGGCACTGTTGAGGGAAACGGGCACTGCGATGTAGTCGGGGCGCGTAAAGCGCTGCCGCTGCTGGTGGATATAGAACGTCGGGCCACAATTCCAGAACGTGTTGCATGCCGCCACATTGTGACGACGCAAGAACTGTTCGAGCTGCGACCCGTTGAAGTTCTGCACACCTCAGGGTTGCACGACCCGATGTGATCATTGACCTCCTCGGCACATGGGAACTCTGCGGCAGCAATGCCTACGTGGCCGTTGGCATAGATCGCGAATACGGGCACGCACCGGGCCGGTATCGTGTCGACTATGCTAGATAGTTGTCGCCGAAACTCGCAACACTCAGCACGGCTGGCCCAGTCCCAGGGTCCACACGGAGCGCACGCACTGATGATGGCAACGTCGGATTGCTTTGTTTTGTGACGCACAAGCCCCAGACGCCCAGCAAATTTCCCACTCCCGCTTCCAACCCAGCGGATAGCAGAACCAGGAAAAAGCGATCGTTTGGCAAAAACCGCCAGTCCATCAGACTTACCAGAAGCCCCAAACGAATGCACTGAAAACGGACCCTGCCGGAATCGCTGGGTTTGGAGATCTTGTTTGTGCCGTGTATTGTGAAGCCCTCCGCATGCACATGATCTGAATTGATGCATCATGTCTTCCCATCGGCCGCTTTGTGTAATAGACAAGTCGTTGTAAGAGAGCATACGAGACTGTAGCATGGAGCAGGGCGGCCCGGCTGCGGGCGGGAGATGGGCATGTCAGCCCATATGAGGCGACTGCCACGTGGTGCTAGGCGCGGGTCGTTGAGCCACATTGGCTACGGAGGAGGGAGGAGGAGGAGGAGGAGGAGGAGGAGGAGGAGGAGGAGGAGGAGGAGGAGGAGGAGGAGGAGGAGGAGGAAGGGGAGGAGGAGGAGGAGGAGGAGGAGGAGGAAGGAGGAGGAGGAGGAGGAGAAGGAAGAGGAGGAGGAGGGAGGAGGGAGGAGGGAGGAGGGTGGAGGGAGGAGGGGGGAGAGAGGAGGGAGGAGGGAGGCAGGAGGAGGAAGGAGGAGGAGGAGGAGGAGGAAGGAGGAGGAGGAGGAGGAGGGGAGGAGAGGAGGAGGAGGGGGGGGAGGAAGAGGAGGAAGAGGAGGAAGGGAGGAAGAGGAGGATGAGGGGAGGAGGAGGAGGAGGAGGAGGAGGAGGAGGAGGAGGAGGGAGGAGAGGGAGGAGGAAGAGGAGGAAGAGGAGAAGAGGAGGAAGAGGAAGGGAGGTGAGGGGAGGAGGAGGAGGGAGGAGGGAGGAGGAGAGAGGAGGAGGACGGGAGAGGAGGAGGAGGAGGAGGATGAAGAGGAGGAAGAGGAGGAGGAGGAGGAAGAGGAGGGGGGAAGGAAGGACCAGTGTTGTTGAAAATAACGGCCATCAACGCAAGGCGCGCAATGGTCGCCATCACTTCGCCCCAGTAGCACATGGCGACGCGCGTCGCCCCCTCAGGGCGGGTGCGGCCGTCCAGATTGCGCCTCGTCGCCCCCGCGCATCGGAAACATGGTTACCAAGGCGGCCAGCGGCAGTCCGAGGGGCGCACCGCGCGAAGCGCGCGAGGCCGCCCCCTCCCCCAACCACCGAGAAGCGCGCGCCGCCCCCCCCCCCGCCCCCCATCCACCCCCCACCCCCCAAGAAGCACAACTGACCTGGACGAGCGACGACGAGAGGCCTGGATTCAGCTTTGCGTTCCGCACGGGAGGGGTGGAATGCAGGACGCATGGGCGTCGCCCGAATGATGATGGTGATGATGCTGATGCTGATGCTGATGTTGATGATGATGATGATGTATGATGATGATGATGATGATGATGATGATAATGATGATGCTGATGCTGATGCTGATGCTGTTGCTATGTGATGCTGATGCCATGCTGGTGGTGGTGGTGATGGTGATGGTGATGATGATGCTGCTGATTATGATGATGAGTGATGATGCTGATGATGATGATGATGATGATGATGATGATGATGATGATGATGATGATGATGATGATGATGATGATGATGAGAAGTACGATGATGACCATGATGATTGTATCCACGATGGTACAGGAGATGTAGTGATGTTGTTGATTACCATGACGATCATGCTGATGCTAATTCTGACGATGTGGATGAGCATCATCATCATCATCATCATCATTATCATCATCATCATCATCATCATCATCATCATCATCATCATCATCATCATCATCATCATCATCGTAGTCATCATCATCAGCAGCAGCATCATCAGCAGCATCATCATCATCACCATCACCATCATGAAGATTGGCATTATTTTGAACAGCACCTGGAGGGAGGGAGGAAGGGAGGGAGGAGAGAGGAGGAGAGGAGAGAGAGAGAGAGAGAGAGAAGAAGCAGGAGGAGGAGGAGGAGGAGGAGGAGGAGGAGGAGGCGGAGGCTTCCTGCTGCGACTCCGAGCGATCCCTGGCCGCCAGGATGCCCGCGCCGTGGTGCGGGGGCTGCTTCGTCTGGACCCCGCGGCGCGCTCCGGCCTCGCGGCCGCGCGGGGCGACCCGTGGCTGCGGCTGGGCGGAGGCCCGCGTCCGCCCTGACACGGGGAGGAGGAGGAGGAGGAGGAGGAGGAGGAGGAGGAGGAGGAGGAGGAGGAGGAGTGCGGATGGAGGAGGAGGAGGAGGAGGAGGAGGAGGAGGAGGAGGGGATGGTGGAGGGGAGTGCGGAGGAAGGAGGAGGAGGAGGAGGAGGAGGAGGAGGAGGAGGATTAGCACGGGCTGACAGTTGGGTTCAAGATTGGATTCCCCGTTCGCCGATCCCCTGAGGCATGGCTGCGCGAAAGGGGGCGGGGTCTAAAACATGACCCAAAACTGGGGAGGGCACGGATCCAAGAGACCTGATAACGCCAGCAATGACGCAGGGGCCGAAGACACACTCTCTTGCAGGCAGATTTCCTACTGGTCCGATTGCTGGTCCTCATTACCCTCCCTCCTCACCCCTCAGCCCCTCTTAGCGATCCCTGGATCTGGGCTCCTACGGGGCGGCATCCCGAAGGGAAGTGAACTTGCTGGGGCAGAGGTCCATTAAGACGCGGGAGCCAATGCATGCCAACGCCCGCCACTGCATGCCAACGCATGCCAATGCATGCCAACGCACGCCGATGCATGCCAATGCATGCCCACGCATGCCAAAGCGTGCCAACGCATGCCAACCCATGTCAATGAATGCCAATGCATGCCAACGCACGCCAGTGCATGCCAATGCATGCCCACGCATGCCAACGCATGCCAACGCATGCCAACGCATGCCACTGCATCGGGGGGGCCCCAGCATGAGGGGTCAGGGCGTGAGGGGCCGAAGCCCCAGCATGAGGGGTCAACGCATGAGGGCCAAGCCCCAGCATGAGGGGTCAACGCATGAATGGCCAATGCCCCAGCATGAGGGGGTCAACGCATGAGGGGCCAGCCAAGGCCCCGGCATGAGGGGTCATGGCGTGAAGGGCCGAAGCCCTGGCATAAGGGGTCAACGCATGAAGGGCCAATGCCCCAGCATGATGGGGTCAACGCATGAGGGGCCAGCCAAGGCGTCATGGCGTGAAGGGCCGAAGCCCCAGCATGAGGGGTCAACGCATGAATGGCCAATGCCCCAGCATGAGGGGGTCAACGCATGAGGGGCCAGCCAAGGCCCCGGCATGAGGGGTCAGGGCATGAGGGGCCGAAGCCCCGGCATGAGGGGTCAACGCATGAAGGGCCAATGCCCCAGCATGAGGTGGTCAGCGCATGAGGGGCCAGCCAAGGCCCCGGCATGAGGGGTCAGGGCATGAGGGGCCGAAGCCCCGGCATGAGGGGTCAGGGGGACGAGGACAAGGATGCGTAGGACGAGGAGGAGGAGGAGAAAGATGAGGAGGAGGATGAGGAAGAGGAGTAGGAGCAGGATGAGGGGGAGGAGGAAGAGAAGGACCAGTGCAATCCCAGGACTCATCAACGACATTGCGACGAACCCTCCCTCCGAGATCCCTCTTTATAGGCCCCTATAAGGATTCATGTTCGCTTGGGGACGTGCCCCGTTGGAAGACGACCATTTGAATATCCGCAATTGTGCCAGAACGCATTTCTGGGAAGTTAACGCCCCGAAACATTATTACTGCTGCGTCTTGACGATCCTGAATCGTGCCAGGGCACCATTCCTGGGATTTCAACACCGAGAGTCAACGTAACTGTTTCGCCCTGACTTTCTGCCATTTGCCAAAACACCGTTTCTGGGACGTTAGCCATGAGAATCCTTGAAGCCCCCGCAAGATCTTAAACGAATGCGCGCGGTGCTAAGGCGAGAGCCACATGTTGAAAAGGAGCCGCCCTCCATCCGCGAAGCTCTTACAATATTTTGAGACGAATGCGCGCGACGCTAAGGCGAGAGCCACACTTCGAAAACGGCCCGCCCTCCAACCGCGAAGCTCTTGCAAACTTTAAAGACGAGTGCGCGCGGTGCTGAGGCGAGACCCACATTTCGAAAACGGCCCGCCTTCCATCCGTGAAGCTCCTGCGAGCTTTTAAAACGAATGTGCGCGGTGCTCAGGCGAGACCCACATTTTGAACACGACCCGCGCTCCATCCATTAAGCTTGCACGTTTCCAAAACGAATTTGCGCGGCGCTAAGGCGAGAACCACATTTTGAAATCCACCCGCCTTCCATCCGCGAAACTTTAGCAAATCTTAAGCTTCAGGATCATATGTGGTGAGGAAGTCTCAAGCAAAACGCCCGGCCCGCTCCTTCCGACCGGCCTGGGGGTGCGACAGCAAGGAGTCATTTACCAAGAAGGGGGATGGAGAAGACGGAGGAGGAGGACGAGGAGGAGGGCGAGGAGGAGGAGAACGAGGAGGAGGGCAAGTCCGAGGATGGGGAGGAGGAGGCGGAAGAGGAGGCGGAGGAGGAGGGGGAGGAGGTGGCCACAGACGACGGCGGCGGCGGCGTCGAAGGCGGCTGGCGCCCGCCTCCCTCTCTCTCAGGCGCGGAGGCGGACGGCGGCGAGGCTCCCGTGGGGCCCCCCACGAAGCGCCCGCGGGCGGCCGGCAAGGCGTGGCCCGCGCTCGCGCGCGCGGCTCCTCGCCTCCTCGAGGATCGAGGATCGAGGATGGCGGATCGAGGGTCGAGCGTCGACGACTGGCGGCGGCGGCCGACGGCGGCGAACACGGCCACCACTACGACCGCGACCACAGCCACGTCGTCGTGGTCGTGGTCGTGGTCGTGGCCGTGCCCGTGCCCGTGCCCGTGCCCGTGCCCGTGGTCGTCGTCGTCGTCGTCGTCGTCGTCGTCGTCGTCGTCGTCGTCGTCGTCGTCGTCGTCGTCGGTCCTCAGCCGTTTTCCAACTCTGGAGTGCCCTCCAGTAGCGCCAGCCGAGGGCCTGGGGGGGACTAGGGAGAAGGGGGGATGTGCAGGATGGGCAGGAGGAGGAGGAGGAGGAGGAGAGGAGGGAGGAGGAGGAGGAGGGAGGGAGGAGGAGGAAGGAGGAGGAGGAGAGGAGGAGATGGAGGAGGAGGAGGAGGAGGGAGGAGGAGGAGGAGGAGTGGAGGAGGAGGAGGAGGAGATGGAGGAGGAGGAGGAGGAGGAGGAGGAGGAGGAGGAGGAGGAGGAGGAGGAGGAGGAGATGGAGGAGGAGGAGGAGGAGGAGGAGGAGGAGGATTAGGAGGAGGAGAGGAGGAGGAGGAGGATGAGGAGGAGGAGGAGGAGGAGGAGGAGGAGGAGGAGGAGGAGGAGGAGGAGGAGTGCTTGTGGAGAGCTCACCGATCAGTCTGGTCAGACGTGCGCGCTCCACGCGAGGGCCGCCTCTGCCTGGGCCTGGGCCCGGGGCAGCCTCGGGCAGCCGCCCTCGGAAGCGCCTGGGGGAGGGCCCTCGCTCTGCGGGCTGGGCTGCTCTGGGGAGCCCGGCGGGGGCGGACGCCTGGCTCGAGGCCGCTGGCTCGGGCGCGGGAGCTCGGGCGCAGACAGGCCCGTGGAGGCCTCCCCTCCCAGGTCGCCCGCGGGGGCGCGAGGGCCATCGCGCTCAGCCGCGTCGCGGCGGGGTCCGCCGAGCTGCCCTCCTTGCAGGGCGCGGCGCGGGGGCGCGAAGCTAGCCGCGCATCGCGGTGGCCAAGACCTGCTGCCCTCCCTCGTCTGGCGCTGCGGACGGAGGAGATCACGGGAGGCTGCGATAACGTGACAAGTGCCAAGGCAGGTGGCCCAGAGAGCAAGTCATACGGCATTGCGCCGAGCTCGTGCCGGAGAAGGCTTCCCGGAGCGCGCTCGGGACAAGCACAGTTGAGATCTTCGAGCGCGGAGCCTCCCGAACCGAACGAGGGGGGCCTCCAGGGTGTGTGTACTCTCCCCTAGTGATGCGGGCATGGTACTTCTGCCTGCCTTTAGGGGTCAGTTGAGCAAGTTGTCTGCCGTCAGAGGTGCAGGTCTGAGCACACCTCGCGCAGAAGATTATACTCCTTCCCGTGCCGAAGGCGATGGGAGTGGTGCAGGGACCGCCCCCCCCGATCAGAAGGGGCCACGATACGGGCCGAAGTCATTGGGGCCCCGCACCACACACCTCGACCTGCACAGCTGGGTGGTCGAATCATGATTCGAGATTAAGCCACATTTCCTGCACGAATTTTGCCCCGACGCAGGACCACGAACGGCAGGACTCTTTGAGCGCCCGCGAGAGTTTCTCGCCCCCTCGGGTAGGCTGCCGCTCCGCGGTCCAGGGATCGGCTTGGATACTTCTCGCCAGAGCTCGTCGCACCCTCCGCCTCACAAGTGCCAACGTGGCGTCCCGCTCGTCTGTCGACGGGACGGGTTCGAGGATCTACCAAGACCACACTATCTCGGCCATCCTAGGAGCAAGCACGTCAGCGCATTCATTGCCATACGCACCCCACCAAGAACCCAGAACCCACCGGGGCGCCCCCAAACCCCTGGTGCTTCCCCACACACGCACACGCACACACACGCACACACGCACACACGCACACATGCACACACGCACACACGCACACACGCACCGCACACACGCACACACACGCACACACGCACACACGCACACATGCACACACGCACAAGAACGCACGCACACACGCACGACCCCCCCACACACACACAAACACACACACACACCACACAACACACACACACACACACACACACACACACACACACCGCACGCACGCACGCACGCACGCACGCACGCACTCACCGCACGCACGCACGCACGCACGCACGCACGCACGCACGCACCACGCACGCACCGCACGCAAGCACGCACGCACCCAGCACCGCGCACGCACGCAAGCACGCACGCACGCACGCACTGCACGCCCCGCACCACACACACACACACACACACACACACACACGACACCCGCACGGGCAAAAAAAACGACACGCACGCACAGCACGACGCACGCACGCACGCACACACACATACATACATATTAACAATATCATACATACAGAAATACATGACATACATTACATACATTACATGCATACATGCATTACAACACATTACATACATACATAAACATACATACATACATACATACATACATTAC